GCGTTAATACACGTATTACGTTTATCTTTTGTTTATGTTTTCATTGATATACTGTGGTCTTGCACATTACTGATCTCATTTTCTAGAACGAGATATATACAAAATGTCAGAACCAATACATTTCTACGGTGGGACTATTTGACAGGGAGTTGATTTGTAAATTGAAAGATTAACTAGTCTTCACAGAGACCAACATTGCAAACATATCTGCGTATCTAGCCGTATTGGTAAAGCAATTTCGTTATGACGTTATGAAAAAACCTTTGAGTTTTATCTCACCTGATTGTATGTAATATTCGTAACCACAACAGTAGTAAACAATCCTTATATATATTCCACACTTGAACTTGAAATATTATATCTCCGTATACTTTATTACCGGCATGTTTTATTTGTAAACGAAGTTCGCGTGTGACTCACTTGGAAACGGAACAAAAATGAGATGTGGTGCATGATAACATTGTCATACGTACTTCAGGTTGTGCACGAGCATCCCAGTTCACGCGTAAGAGGATGGACATTCGATTGTTACCGGAAGTGGACAGACCAGAATGATGTTTTTTTAGTACTAAGCTGGCCAGATAGGTCTTTTCATTGTAAGGTTTAAGTCAGAATATGTGGTGGTATTTATGACTTGAAATAAAATATCCTGAGTATGTTGCTCAGGTCTCTAATTTTGTAAACATGTATATTTCAGTTAATGAACTTCCGATCATGTGATCCTCTTGACAGGTGAACACTTGTAAACTTTTTTTTAAAATAACTTCTCACAGTTTTCCCAAACAACAAATATTGATTCAGTTTTGATAGAGTGCAGAATACTTCTTGTCATCTTTATGAAAGTCAGTTTCTCTTCTGCCTTTTGTTTATTTACACATATACATAAATATGTAATCAGTACTACTATTTGTAGGCTGATAAATTGATAAGTTAAGATAAATCCACGAGAGCGACGTCACTGTTAACTGGCAGATGACACGAAAATGTGCTCCAGTGTTCCACTCACCTAGTCCGATGTTACTGACTATGGAGTCATTCTTCAGGTGCTGATACGGAACACAGTATGCTTAACACCTCGTTTGTCACAGATTCCACACACACAAACATTCATCATACATCACAATAGCCATTGCCAAATCAGTGACTCATCTTTACTTTGTGACCGATATATGGAACTCGAGAAGACCAACAAGATTAACTCAAAAGGATACCTATGTTTTGATAATTTAACGAGTAATTTAGTCTGTTCAGTTTTGAGTACGAAACTGCGATTGATGAATGGAGGACAAAATGTCACGCCTCTAATAAATAATGCCGCACACGACGGATACACGTGCTCATTGCACGTCACGTACGGACCCTGTTATCAATGTTTTCCAGAGAGCACAGATACTCACTATCTTTAAACCCATTTCCATTTAATCTGTCGACCACAATCCTGTTTGCGATATTGATTTCAAAAAAAAAAAATGTTACCACAAGTTGGCATTATATACCATGAAATATATTTTTCGGTATCAAACCCCTAACATTTCAGATAAGTGATCTTATAGCCACCTGTAAAATTGAAAAAAGGCATTGTTGCCCATTCGCAAGTGTATGAATATGCATGTACACGGATATCGTGTCCAATCTTATCAATGACATCTAGCACAAATTCAATAAAAAATACATAGATACATTATTTTCTTCTTCAAAACATTGATAAGACCCCACTCCATGGTTCGTAGAATCAGGACAACGACAAGATACGTCGTGCTTCGTTGTTAATCACAATAGACATTTCACGTGAATTCGCATGAACGACAAATCGACGCCAGCTAGTATGTGTAAGTGGATATTATCAGTGGTCTTGTCGTATTTAATGTAAACCTATGTGGCAGTGTGACAGGTCAGCACGCTAGGGAACACATTACTCACGAGCTGGTCAATTGCTGGGCATGCACCTTCATCAATTATTCCGCCTGGTCTGGAGAAGTCGGCCGCGCAAGGACGGAACTAGATCGTGGTCAACCCATCACCCTTTCACATTGTCCTGGTGTGAGGCAAATAAACTACGGGACATCGCTAGGGCTAGGTCCCGCTATTTGAGCGATAACATAATCAAGGAAAACGAAATAGACATAGAGCATTTCGTGGCATCAACTCAAAGAGGGTCATCTCAGTGAGAGACGTTCTCTTTGAACTGGACGGCGCCCTCTGCCATGCCATGATACCAAGTTTAAAGAGACCAGCTCAGTCAGGAGTATTTCATTTGGTAGGCCAGTGCACCCTGCCATGACATTGTCGTATTAAATCATCCCCAATACTTCCACTGCTAGTACAGATGTGTCTTTAATTGGACCCCAACAGTTTGCTGCCAGCCCACTGACCTAACGACCACTGGACCAATGTTCCCATATACCAGCAAACCGTCAGGTCCAGCTCTAATAAGAGCCACTACATCTAGTGTATATATCAATGGCTTGTTCTCATTGATAACATATAGGAAATATTTCATATTGATAGAAAATGGCAATGATTTATAAAAATGAGACCCAATGCTGTTAGAAATACAAAACTCTTAACAAATCTGATTCAGATGTATACAATACGGTATCAATAAATCATTTTTAGTGAAATAAGTTCTTTGGTTCTGATATGTTGCTGCTTCAATCCTTGTAAGAATAGGTGGTTCTGTCCTTGTGCTCTGAACAGCTAACGGAAACCGTCTAACTCCACAGGCAACATATAGCCTGGTAGATACATGTATACGGTGATAATGGATTTTAGATGAATTTCAAAGTTTGATTTCACAGTTATTTTTCGAATACAAATTAAAGCTATATTTCAATTAAAGTTTCAAGATGGCGGTCCAGATTGACCTGTCCGCGTCCCTCAGACAACGACGTTAATAAAAGCTAATTGGTTTTCTGCATTTTTACAGTTAACGTATTGTATTTCAACAATAACTGGTATGTTTAAACAATGGTGCTTGAGTGTACTGTTTCCGTGACACTTGCGAAACTGCGATTAAATCGTGAACAAAAGCTGAAAATTATTTTAATAAAATAAGATCAATGGAAAATGATGACAAAAAAGGATGAATAAAAGTAAGGAAATGGGAAAAAATATTCAGGGCTTGCACACGTCTGTGTTGCAAACCAGATATATCTTGTAATATTTACATTCTGTATGCTTAGACCCATTGACAAAAAATACATTCATAAATGCATAACACAGGTGTTCATAGAATCTCAGCACGTGGAAACTGATAGTAACCTGATCACACTGCGTAGTAATACACTACAAAAACTACTCACTCGGAACGACCGACCTAGATGCTTAATTCTTACATCTTAAAATATTATTGAACTGTGCTTTGTGAAATATCCACGTATTTACGTGTCCTGTGCTACAAATAAACATTGAATATGGAACTACATTTTGTTGTGTTATTGTTGTTGACGGTTGCTAAGATCTCTCACGATAGTGTCACATTTCCCCGCGAAAAAACACTGTTCTCGCCACTGCGTTGCACCCGTGTATAAGCAGGAACAAACCCTGTTTATTTGTTTTATTCGTTGTTATATCGATCCACTGAAAGGATTCGTCAATGTAAATATAAGGAATGATATTTATTTTTTCAACATTTATGAGGTCATAACAACAATGGGTTTTTGGACATATTTTACATGAATCGCTAACGCGATTCATTCAATATGTCCATAAACCCATTGTTGTTATGACCTCATAAATGTTGAAAAAATAAAAATCATTCCTTAAATGAACAAACGTATTTGACCGAATCATCGCAGTTTCGTTCTCAGCAGATGATATCTGGTTCTGACAAGTATATAGCGCATGCGTATACAGCTGATTGTATCGCCGATGGATGAAGAACTGCGATTTGACAGTGACCATTCATTGGCCGAATAATTGTTTCGTCTGAACTGTCACGTCAAAACAATATCAGATACAATCCCATTATAATGGCTAATCAAGAGGGGCAACCGGATAAAGTCTAAAAATTAACCGGAAGTCGCTATTAGTTGCTAGGTAACATATAGTAGACGTTATTTGTATTGATGTGTCTTCATACATAATGTCAAATCAAATCATACGACTTCCGTAGGTTTATTATTGCATTCTATTCATTTTAATTTGAATGTTTTGACTTGCTTCAATAAACACAATAACAACACATAGACGCGCTATTATCTTTCTATCGTCTCATCTAAAAGGCAGTTAATATCAACATCTGGTTGTTGATGTGTGGTTATAATTTAAGGAATTTATCAAACAATAAATACAATGTTTTCTGTCAATGTCATGTTCCGCCACTGGCATATGAGAAGGGATCTTAAGCGGAACTTACTGTATATCGATGCACACACGTAGATTTCGTTCTCCGTTGAATGTTTGTTCATGTCCATCGTTGGTCACCAAAAATCAGGTCAATTGTTTATTAAACCTAGTTTTAAACTGTCAGAATTCGTACCAACCAGAATATAATAGTACAAACGTAAGGTTATATTCTCAGTTATGTGTCAAACTACTTACCCAGTTAATCTACCAGAAACAAGGAGTTAACACGCTGTCTTGCTGCCATATATAAATACTAAATCATATTTTGTCGAATTGCGAAATCTACTAAATTGTATTTTCAAAGATCCTACACTTTGTTTTCTAATGAAGAAATGTAGTCGTACGAATGCTCTTAAATCAGTGGTCTTTGAAGTCAAAGAATGACCAATTAGCTGAAGTATCCAACTTTCTTTTTCCGTGCATAATTATTATACACGTAGAATGGATCAGTAACACTTTCAGGAACCCCTCCTATCTTATCCACAGTTCACACGTTACACCGTGTTTGAAGAGGTGTTCATAAGGAACGCTCTCAGACTTGGTTGCTTTCCGTGTTTCCTTTGTCGTGTTTGAGAGCGCTGATTGGTGTTCCGTGTTATGCGGTTTTTCCTGAGTCGGTGTAGCTCTGACCGCCTAATGACAGTCAGCCTCTCTAAAGCACACGCCACGTAATGGACGCGAGCCTACATGCAGCCGTTTGATGCGCTAATAACAGGTATGCTTTAGTTCCGCGGTTACGACTTATACTAATGTAAATCACCACTGTTTCTGTCTCTCAGGCGGTCAGGGGCGGAAACTTCTATTGACAGCAACGCGCTTGAATTTGAAGTAGAGTGCAAAATTGAAAGGTTTCTTAAATGTCATCTTCCGTAACTGTTTAACATTTCTATTCTAAAACGATTCGATGTCTCAGTGGCTTAGATGTACTTAGCGTAGTGGATGTGAAAGTTTGAATGTTATATTCTATATTTACTTTTTGTGTGACAAGACGGAAGCTTAACGTAATGATGTAAGCGTATATAGTGTTGCCATGCACAGGATTAATATGCACATTGGTGAACTGCACGTGTTGTAGCCTAGTAGGCGGAAGAGGCGATGGATCTGACCAATAGCGTCCCAGTGGCCACGGCCTTTTATTTCTTAAAGCAATTATTAAATGTGTCGACTCAGATGCGCATGTTTAACAACTCTGCGCTTTGACGCAAGGGATATGGAGGGACAATAACAAAAAAGATGTGAATGCAAACACACCTATGTGCGTGCTGTTACACGACGGATATGCTTATAAACGCGCATGAATAGGAAAAATAATATTTTACAAAATATAACACTGTGCTATCATCATAATCCACCTAGTGCCTGAATGGTATAGATACATGTGTGATAAATACTGTGAGTAGAATCCGTGAAAGTAAGAAAGCATGGGTAACGTACCTGGTCATTGTTTGGGTCGGAACCGGAACCGACTTAGCTCATATCTCACACCCGCCGAAAAGATTATCCTCCGAACCACGCTCGAGCTCATCAAAGATGACCTGCACGATCTGGGCGTAATCGTCTTTGTGAGGTAAGTACAAGTACGGTAACATACCGCAAAGGGACGAGGGAACTGTTTTTAACATACATGTATATGGTTTACGAACGACGGTATGGCGTTCAGAATACAGTTTTTACGTAATAACGGACCCATCCCTTCCCCCCAACTTCCAATACAAGTTCAATGTAATGAAATATTGACTTTATATTCGGTAGAAATACTTAAGAATCTTGAGACAATGTCTTTCCCTTGTTATAATGCCCCCCCCCCCCCTCTCCTGTAACAAACGATTTTCAAAACTGATGATAAAATATCGGGATTATTTTATGAAATGTCATAAGACAAAATCAAAGAATATGATACGTGTAACTAATCAGAAAACACGAAATGCGCGTGTTCGGTTTTGTTCCGTGTTAAAAGGCCATAGAAGGCTGCTGTCATAATACGGTCCCTCAGTTCAGGTTAATGTGTTTTGTAGTTCTGAAGAACTAATACTGTTTGTTAAATATTGTCTCTATTTTGAGGCTCTGAACATACAGTTATCAATATATTAAATGGTTTCCCGTGGAATGGCATGTACTGGTATGTCTCAATTGTTCGACGTAATACACTATTTGCGCGAGAGTGCTTTTGTAGTACTCTGCCAAGCTCATGCCATGTATATTTGTCAGCATAAACTATCCTCTTAATATGAAGGTTGTCGAAAACTTCGTTGAAAACCACATTTCTTTTCTTGACGGCTTCAGAAACTCGTTCAAATGTCGTTTATCTCTCTTCGTTATAATGATATAATTGATTTAAATAGGATCCCCGTATGGTTTTAGTAGTGATTGACAGCAGTGAGAAATGATTACTAAAGATACGAAGGCAGGAAGCACCTATTTGAAAATCCAGTTTGCAAAATGCAGATAGCCAAAAAAGTAGATATTTGACTGCAGCATGTGGTCATTTCTCCCTTTTAGCACCCTTCAGTGCCATTAATAGCCTAAACAATAAAAAGCCCACGTGTACAGTGTGTAGAATGCAGTGGACATGGACAGTTGCCTATTAACCCCTTGCAACGTTACCAAAGTACTCACACTTAAACTAGTATTTCTTGGTAGCCATGCCAGACAAAATTCCAGCTACAAGGCTCCAACATCTGGGTCTTATAGTCAAGCTTTAACAGTCCACATCTCGTGGCGTAAAGTAATCGCGAAATTTACGACGAAATAAGTATAAACGTGTTAAAATAGATATACGTCTATATTTTCAGACACCATTGTAACATACGTAGAATTCTATTAAGCAATATATTTAGTCATGATTTCAAATTAAAATGAGTTTATTGGTCAATTTGCCTAGCAGGCTCTGGAGTAGATAATGATGTGTGATGTGTATTTATATCAATACAAGCTTCAGCCGTCCGCGGTTTATAGCATCAGGCCACCATCAATTCATGTCCTCCTGTTAGATTAAAAAACATGGAGCTTCAACTCAAATTACAATTTGTAAAATTGAGTACTTTCCATTAAACATCTCTAACCAAGATCTATCCCAAATATCAATTAAATTGATACACGAGCTGAATGTTCATACACCATTTACAGTGTAGGTAAGAAGGAAACGGGAGACATATTTCGTCTCCTGTCACCACTAGAGGTCTACTCTATTTATAAGTAAGTTGTTTAAGTAGAAAGTATATATATTTGGCAGTAGGCGTTGTAAACCTTCATTATAACCACCAGAAGGGTCTACTCCTTTTGTGATAATTGTTATTGAGTTCAAATTGAAAAAGATTCTGTAAGTAAAATGAGTTAGTGACTTTGTAATTAACGGATACTCGACTTCCCAAACAGCTAGTTGGTTCACCGCCCCCGTCCCCTAATGTTTGGCAGCGTGTTAAATTGGTAGATAACTTCATATCAAGGTTTCTCGCTAGAGTTGTAAACGGAGACTCGTTTATATGTGAAATTGTTGTAACGTGTGTTCTGTTGCGGATTGATTCAGACAGAGTTACAACATTAAACAGGACCACAGTGTAAACAATAGCCCAACAATGATGAATGTTGACGTCAGACAAAATATGAATGTTTAGAATTCCCAGCAACATTTACATTCGAGACTTGAAAGTCGTTTGTCATTTCTTGGAGTAAAGGGGTGCTTATCTTGGCTCGCTGCCTGTGAGGATGAGAGAATGGCGGATACAAACGAGTAAAACCAGTCAGGTGTAAACATGCAGTAATTACTCACTGCAAAACCTGATTGTATAACAATAGAAATCAACTAATTACATCATGTTACTGTGTAGTATTATAGCCATGTTAAAGTTCAAGCTCCGTACAGTTTTACATAATTTATGTATTGCCTGATGTCATTGGTCGATTAACGAATCCGATTGATATATATTAAGACACTTCTATACTGGTCTTCCACTTTTAGAGTATTTTCATGACAACTATTGATAGTACAAATATTATTTAGTTATATTACATTTGACAAGTTGATGAATTAGATAAGTAGAACAGTTTATATTAAACATATTTTGTATGTTCAGGGTATTGATTCGAGGGTTTCCTATATGTCTACCTACAATGATGTACAGTGTAGTAATCCGTCTTTGCGTATTGCAGAGTTGTCTTCTCTTGTGAGCAGGTATTGATTGATACGTCATTGTTTTGTGTGAGAAAATTACTTCGTTTTCTCAAAAATTGATGACGTTAATCTCGCAAACAAATGACGTAACAATCAATACCTGCTCACAAGAGCAGATAACTCTGCAATACGCAAGGCGTAATAAGTGCTGTTTGCATTGTTTAAAACAAATTCCAATCTTTGATTAAATCGCCATATCAATCTTCAAGATTCACTGATGTATCATTACATAATACTAGCTGCAACACACACTTACATTAATACACAAATGACCAATTGTTCAGAGCTGTAGAGGGATCGAAAATACCATTAGTCAAGTACCCAGTACAATTTTACCTTTCTCACCATGACCTTTAATTTTTTCCCCCTCTACCTAAGACTAATCTATGTGTATACGTGTATTATGGTGGAAAATATAACTAATGATTCGAAAATGTTTGAAAAATAATCAACTGAGGCCGTTTTATGGAATACAAAACGAAATGAAAAGTGTCGTTTTTTTTCCACAAACGTGGTAAAATACCGAATGTATAAGTTATAAATGTATGTAAATAAACGTTGGCATGAAACATAAGACGGCAGCATTATATACAATACATATATTGAAACGATATGACAGGACTTAAAAAGACCTTGTCTACTTTTCAAGTTTTGTGTAACATCTAATTACGAGCAATACATGAAATTAAATTGAAATTCCAACAAAAATGTTGTGCCACAGCATATTACTGCTGAAATAACTCCTGAATATCTGGCTATTGTTAAGCACATATATATGTAAATGAGCTATACCAGACCTTAACCATGTCATTCGTATCAATATTATACAGACATTGCTGTCGCAACACAAATAACCGAATTATCATTCAGCTATGAAGATATATATTAATTACATGCTGGCATATGTCCTTATAAGCATTGTTGTAATAGTGCGGAGATACAGCGTATTACGTAGACAATTGTGCTTGTCTACTGACGGATTACATAATCCCTTTCCCCTCATCCCATATCATATCTAATACATTTGTATGTATTAAAGTGACCAGCGATCCATCAGTGTGACACAAACATATTGCGCGACTGCTGCACGTCCGCATGGTGTGAGTGCATTGTCAGGCTCCGGTCGACGGGATGTAGTCCCGATATTCGGAACAAGATTAGGACATGGCAATCCTGTGTGAGTTATGGACGTTTTTAGACTTCATTAATTGAATTGTATTTACGTATCAAAGCTTAGTGATCGCTGGATGTAAATCACGAACTACTGCGATTGAGATGTGTTCAATATTGTCACGTGATAGAGGGACTGCAAGGATTGACGCCGAGACAGATAAAGGCCAATGTTTATTGATATGGGAACCAAATTAATCCAAAATAAGTTAATATTGCAAAAATCAATATCTTTGACAGTAACATGGACTTCTAGAATCTTGTATTCTGAAGCCACAGTCTATGCCGGTACGCATTCTAGAGTTTATCTCCGAGCATACTTCATGGATCTGCTTGGTATATAATCAGTATTCACGGGATCTGAACAAACCGGGTTACATTATTACCAGATATATCTCCAACTCGATATATGTCTCTGGGCATTTTAGGAAAAGCTCATAGCGATATGCTGTTGAAATTAATCAGTTAATTATATATAAAGAAGCAATAATGAGTAATAGATGCATTTATTTGCTTTCTGTTTATAAGTCAATGAACGTTTCGTTTAAATTTCAGACTTCAGAAACACAGTTCTTGGTATATAGCAAACACTGTTCTTGGTATATAGCAAACACTGATTTTGGTATATAGCAAACACTGTTCTTGGTATATAGCAAACACTGTTCTTGGTATATAGCAAACACTGTTCTTGGTATATAGCAAACACAGTTCTTGGTATATAGCAAACACAGTTCATGGTATATACCAAACACTGTTCTTGGTATAAAGCAAACACAGTTCATGGTATATAGCAAACACAGTTCATGGTATATAGCAAACACTGTTCTAGGTATATAGCAAACACAGTTCTTGGTATATAGCAAACACAGTTCATGGTATATAGCAAACACTGTTCTTGGTATATAGCAAACACTGTTCTTGGTATATAGCAAACACAGTTCTTGGTATATAGCAAACACAGTTCTTGGTATATAGCAAACACTGTTTTTGGTATATAGCAAACACTGTTCTTGGAATATAGCAAACACAGTTCATGGTATATAGCAAACACAGTTCATATTATATAGCAAACACAGTTCATGGTATATAGCAAACACAGTTCTTGGTATATAGCAAACACAGTTCTTGGTATATAGTAAACACAGTTCATATAGCAAACACAGTTCTTGGTATATAGCAAACACAGTTCTTGGTATATACAAGTGTGGTGATATGCATTATGGTTT